AGCACCGGCACCGTTTCAAAAGTACCGATTTGGCACCGGTATCGGATAAAACCTAAACGATACCCATCCCTACTCATAACCAACATTATCTAGTGTGTTTTTAAAGCTATATTTAATTAATTATGCTGCTCATCAGATTTCTGTTAGAATTCTATTATAATCGTCCTTTATGAGAGCTTTATTGGGGAATAGAGTGTTAAAATGTATAGTTTCTTAAAGTTTTATATAAAGATGTGGCATTAATAAATAGATTATTTTGCATTAAGAAAAATAATAAACCCCTACACATCTGTTTTGGATATTTCCTTAATAAAAATATAATATGGACAAATGACCCTAAATCTTTAACTTTAGCAGTGCTAAGTAATTTTCTTTGAATACATCACTAAAAAAATGTGACTCTGAAAAATCTCAAACAATAATTTAAAGTCTAACAAAATTATTTAAAGGTTCACTTTGTTATAGAACAATTGAATATAGATTTTAAATGATAATCAGTGCAAAAGGTTGAAAACTGACCTGAGAGTTTCCAGTTTAAAGTTTGCACTCTTTAATCCATCAGACAGGAGCTTCACTTGTGAATCCTTCAGGTCAGAGTTACTCAGGTCCAGCTCTTTCAGACTGCAGGACTGGGAGCTGAGAACTGAGGACAGAGCTTCACAATTTCCATTTGAGAGGCTACAGTGACTCAGTCTGAAAAATAACAGATTAACAAACATGAAAAAATAACCTTTTTGTTAAATTGGAATGCTGTATTATTATTTTAGCAATATTTAATCCTGTATTTTTCTGGACCCAGTCATTCCTTTGGCTAAAAAAAAAAGATATTAATTCTGTCAGCATTTGAAAATATATATATATATAGTTTGGTCTGACCTAAGAGTATTGAGTTTACAGTTTGGACTCTTCAGTCCATCACAAAGACGCTTCGCTCCTGTGAGATTGGAGTTACTCAGGTCCAGCTCTCCCAAACTAGAGGACTGAGAACTAAGAACCGAGGACAAAGCTTCAAAGCTTCTCTCTGAGAGGTTACAGCCCATCACTCTGAAAAACAAAAACAACAACAACAAAAAACCTGGTAAAGGGTAATCAGGAGTAAAGAACTATGACATTTAGCAGTATTAATGCTATTTTTTCCTCTTTAATCTTTAATTGATTGTGACAGTTAGATATATAATGAGATATGTATCTCACTTGATCTGACCTGAGAGTTTTACAGTGTGGACTCTTCAGTCCATCAGACAGAGGCTCCTCTCCTGAATCCTGCAGGTTTCTGTTACTCAGGCCCAGGTCTATGAGATTGGAGGACTGGGAGCTGAGGACTGAGGACAGAGCTTCACAGTTTGCCTCTGACAGGTTACAGAGACTCAGTCTGAAAAAGTAATGCAGTTTGTCATTAAACTAAACCAATTTATATAAACAGTGTCCTGATTAAAATGTGTCCATAAAGAATAAAGAAAATTATCCAAAATGTCAACTTAAGAGGAAAATCTTTGTTGTCAGGAAAAACCAAAAGTGAAGCAGCACTTTAAAGCTATCAAGCTGTCAATCCGTTCCGTGTCTGGGCCGGGTGAGGTATGTGAATTAGGGTTTTTATTTAGCTTTACAGTAAGGCATCCTTTGAGGTGCTCTGCCACAGTTTCTGACACCTGCTGGCCGAGTTGTTGACAACCCATATAGAAAAGAAATAGGAAAAAATAAAAGACTTGCATCAGCTTTAGGTTGCTGGATATACTGAATTATATAAGGCTTATATGACTTACTCATGAAAGTGGCCACTTTCTCATTACTTTCATATATTTTTTTAGGAAGTATCCAAAACAGGTTCATTTATATAAATTTTCAATGGATCTTATATGTGTTTTCACTCTTGTATGATTTTTAACAAGTTTCCCACAAACTTTACAAAATCAAGAAATGATTAATAACATCAGAGGTTGAGGTAGTTACATTCTGCTGATTAACGTTTATGCATTAGAAATGAAGATCCGATTTTTTGGAATGACAAGATTGTAAGTGAACCAAATTAGTCTAATAAGCCTAAATATATAACATGATAGTGGGACCTCTGCGTATGATATTCTGAAGCCAAAACAGGCCATAGATCCTCTGAACACTGAGAAAAGGGTGCATGAGGTAGAACCAATGCACACCAACAACGAGGAGGCTCAGTGATGGTCAGGCAGGATGGCTACTCAGCACAACATCACAGCACACAGCCAACCGTGGTGAAGTTGCTGGTCTAAAGATAGAGCATAGACAAGTCATCTGAAGGATGATTAAAAGTTTACTTGTGGGCTTATGTGGCAACTAGCTAAGGCCCAGGAAGAGCAGCCTCGGGATTAGCTAGTTTATGAATATGAATCTAAATTTCTCGGGCTGTTAGCTCCAACACATGGACCTAAACCACTCCTTGACATGACTCTGGCAATGTGTTGGCTTAAGCAGAACAACCCAGGTCAAGAGGAAACAGGAAGAGACATAGTTCTAGCACCAACTACAGGGAGTGCAGAATTGTTAGGCAAATTAGTATTTTGTCCACATCATCCTCTTCATGCATGTTGTCTTACTCCAAGCTGTATAGGCTCAAAAGCCTACTATCAATTAGGCATATTAGGTGATGTGCATCTCTGCAATGAGAAGGGGTGTGGTCTAATGACATCAACACCCTATATCAGGTGTGCATAATTATTAGGCAACTTCCTTTCCTTTGGCAAAATGGGTCAAAAGAAGGACTTGACAGGCTCAGAAAAGTCAAAAACAGAGGGATGCAGCAGTCTCAAAATTGCAAAGCTTCTGA